CATATACATATACATACATATATACATATATACACATATACATATGTACATATATTTACATGGTAAAATATTAGAGTGTACAAGCTATCTAATGTATTTTAAAAAAATGCCAGAAAACTGTCTGTGGATGTACGAACAGAAGAGATACGAGAAAATGTGTCTCATTTCACAAAGTAAGCAGATTTGTATCTTCTTTACCTCAATAAAAATATGTGCGTAAGAGCACGGCATTCACCAAAAGACAAAAAAAAATAGACCTCTTATCTTGTAGCTACTTACAAAAACAGTTAAAAGGAGAGTCATCGCTGACCTACACAATGACTCTCTGATTTGATAGGCTTTTATGTCCTCTATGAGACACTGGGATATATTGACATCACATTACTTAACATGAATGACATTGATATTAGTATTTAGACACTGCACATGTATCTTATGTCCTTGTGGCTGTTGAGGCGAAAAGCCCACTCTGACCTGGTGGAAGTCGCTCTCTTCCTGCAGGAGCAATTACACCGGTATGGGATGCTTCATGGCTATAAGTAGCTAATCCATCTGACATGCACCCAGGCTGGCTTCATGGTGTCCCAAAGAGCTGTCCGGTGTTGTATTACATCCTGTACGTACACAAAAGGCACACACTTGGTCCTGTTTCAACCCTGTGAGTCATAACTTTATTAAACTCTGGTGGGTAAACTTTATACAGCTCAGCCTAGGCAGTCGTGGGTTCTGCATCACACACATCCAGGTTGGAACATAAACTCAAAACAATAGTTCTTATTGTTACATCTACTTGCATCAAAGATTCTCAAGACGTACTCCTTTTCACTTCTTTCCTTTTAATTGTGAGATCAGAATCGTGTAATTATGACATTTTTTATAGTAATTAATGTGCCTGTGACGTGCACATCACTCAAATACAAAAAGTCAAAGACAACATCTTTATATTTAAGAAACTTGGCATAACACACACACGGTTTTACTCATTTTGTCACATAACTGGCAGCTTTTCTTCAGAATTTGGTCGAGCTAAAGTGAAACAGGAAGTGACATCAAAGGGGAATTCTTTAAGAAATGAAACTCCACGAGTCAACTGAGTCTTCATTTCTTTGATAGAGACTCACAATAATCTAAAGAAACAGATTCTTCGCTATAGTCTGTGCTGCTAGCCTTGTAGCAATGCTCTGTTTAAATCCAGACATTCCCCTTTGACATCATTTCCTGTTACTTCAAATACAAATATCTCAACAACTGTTCATCACAGCAGTGTAAAATTATTTTTGCAATATGTCATCAGTGTTGTCTTTCCAAAAATGCATTTATATTTATTGCAAACATTTGATGTCACAGGCACTTTAAGAGTGGCTATTTCGTAATTATGCAAATTTATCTCATAATTAATAAAAGTAAAATACAAGAGTTTTTTTTCTTTGTTGAATGCAATGCGCTTCCTTAGAGTGACAATATGGGAAGTTCCAGGAACTAAACACTGGTTGTACTGCATGTCTATAGCTGATTAACCTTTGGAGTCAACCTCATTCAAGATGGCTGCCACAGCTAAGAAACACTAACAAACACAAAATCAGGTATAACTCTGTCCGTTTGACAAATATTGAGGAACAACCTCATGTGTCAATAGCTGAGTGTAATCCATAACTCATGTATTGAGCACTAACTGATTGGACAAGATCTGTTTTTAAAATGTTGCTATTCGCTGCAAGTCCACCCTGTCAGAGCAAAAATATCTCAAATATTGAAACATTTTTCTGCAGATTGCTATGCCAGTTTCTATTATGACAACATCAGCAGATCAAACCTACCCAAAACACTGCTTAAAAAAAGACTAGCTTTTTTTCCTAAGTCAAATCTTCCTAACTTCCTCTGAGAATTTCATCTCAGTGTTCATGGTTCATTACTGATGTGTGTGATGATGTAGGGCGAACAAGAAGAGCTTAGAGCGAAAGCGAGACAGTGAGATGGGAGCAGCGGGAATTCTATGGAAAGCCATCACTGACACAATTACGTGATCATTATGCGTCCATTTGACGCGTAAACAACGCATAATTTACACGTTAAGAACGCGTCAATCACACGTCAAATACGCGTCGAAGTTTAACACGTTTTTGACGCGTCAACAACATGTTATCAACGTGTCAACGTGTAAACTTCGCGTTGTTTGCACGTAGTTTATGGCTTTTGGTTAAGACATAAAAAGTATGCGTTTATGTCCTTTTGGGTAACTTCACTTCCTTGACGGTTTAGGTCGCGTCTCTTCTCATTGGCTGTCAGGTCCAGGGCTAAACCACTTCACTAAACCACTTCACTAAACCACTTCAGCAGAAGAGAGGGGTGATTCCCAGGTCCAGGGTGAAACCACATTAACAAGGAGAGGTAATGAGACAGAGAACCTACATTTCTGCTTATATTTTAATTTTAAAAAAAGCCTGATGTTTCTTTTACTTTTTAACAAAGTTATTAATAAACCTAAGAACTGTTTAATAAACCTGTTTCTGTTTCCTATTTCTGCCAAAACTGAGAAATCCAATTGCCAACAGCTTATATGTAAAGTACTAATAATGTTATAAAGATAATTGTTTTCATTGTCAAAGACTGTGTTCAAAATTGTTTTATTTTAATGTTAAAAATGTTATTTTAATGTTAAAAAAATGTAACGTCACGTCACGTAGTTATTACAGTTATATCTTCTCGAATTTGTAATGCCAGGGCATTCTGTCAACACCAAGGTTATAATAGTTTTGGAGTTTTAATTTATAGTTTAGTTTTATTTCGTTTTGACTTTCTTTTAATTAGGCTAGTTTTAATTCGTTTTTACAGTGGATTTGCTAATTTTATTAGTTATTATTGCATTTTTAATGCTTAGTTTTAGTTTAGTTTTTATTAGTTCTAAATATCTTCTTTATATTGTGGTCAGAGGAGATACTGACCCAACACCTGCACAACCCACAAGGGCTCATTTGATTAATATTTAGGTTAATGAGAATAAAAATCAGATATAAAACATTGTCTTAAAATATGATTTAAACAGATGTACTAAATGAATTTGGATTGATAAAAACAATTTGGGATTTTCTAACTGGATCTCTTCAACACAGAAATGAAGCAGAAATAAATTTGACATTACTGTCATTACTATATTATATATATGCATGATTGTACATTAAACTGATCATCAGAGGAACTGATCATCGCCACGTCATTA